GGGAATGGGGAATACGGGAGAAAAAGAGGGGGGGGGGGGTGAAGAGTAGAAGCAGCTGCATGGGCTGTCACTAAGCTGAACCTGGTGTTGTATCCTGCATGAGCACAACACAGGTTCACAGTAATGTTACAATGAGCTAATTACCTGCTGGATAGATAAGCTAAGGAGTCAGCATTTGTAACCAGAGAGAATGCTGTGATGGAATTTACTTTGTCTGGTGGAAGAATTCATAAAGTAGCCAAGGTTGAGGCTTTCACAATGAATGCAGGAGAGCTGGCAATCATAAAACATTCCTTGAATTCATTGTTTGCTAGAAGCAGGCAGAATGTGGAACTTTTCACCTGCCCTGGGACAAACTGCAGTTTGGGTTCATGCAAATCTAGTACATCATAAACTGTATAATGGAAGTTATGGGAACTGTAATGACTTTAAACTGGAACCACAAGGTAGAATAAGCAAGCCTCTCGCTAGCGATAAAGGGCTTGGGTAGTATAAAAAAATCCTCATATTGCTTAAACTTTTGCATTGCACAATGCTGTTAGTCCTATTCTCTCCTGTCATGTTTAGTGTTAGACTGTGTACTCTTCACTCAATCCTATGGAGAGTTCATACTACATCAGCACGTGTGCAAGCCTGGATTGGAAGATTTTTGACAATCAGTTGCATGGCTTCACGGGTTATATCTCATTGCATCAGTAATAGGGGAATATAAGACTGGCAGGGGTGCTGGAAACATAGCAAACTACAAAATAAGTGTAACTGCACCAAATGGGCAGACTTGGCTAGAAATTGTTACTATTTATTTCTTAAAGGGATTTATATAGCACCGGCAACGTGCGCAGCGCTTTACATACTGTACATTCACATCAGTCCCTGCCCTCAAGGAGCTTACAATCGAAAGTCCCTATCTCAAATGCATACACATGCACACACATACTAGAGCTGATTTAGGAGCCAATTGATCTACCAGCATGTCTTTGGAGTGTGGGAGGAAACCAGACAAGCAGATAATGTCCTATACATTGTAAATAATTGAGGATATAGTATGTTTACAATGTCCACAATCATGAATGAACAGGAAGTGATGTAGAACACTTCCTGTTTATTCATAATTGGGGACACAGTAAACATACTATATCCTCAATTATTTACAAGCAGTCATCGATCAGCTGATTACAGACTGCTTGTACCCGCTCTCCATCCTGGCTCACTGTCACAGGAGGCTGAGCTGGTTGTGCAAGAGGAAAACTCAGTCTCCTTTGACAACTGACTCCTCCCCCACACCACCGGCCGGCCTCCTGGGACAGATCACAGCTGCCCCCCCC